GAAGTCTTAAATTAACTTTGAACTTGACCTTGTTAAATTCTAAGTTTCTTAAGGTAATTAATGAAACATTTCAGTCAGTACCGATGCAATATATGGACATTTCCTCAACTATAATGAATATTATGCTCCTGGAGACTTGTGCTTGAGTTAGTTGTTGCAATAAGCAGAAGTTTTGCTACTGAGCTTCTAAGTAAAGTGATAGAGCAAGCTGGCTGTAATGAAAGTATCAGTCTGCGTTCAAAATCCAGTTCCAGTAATTAAAACTAAACGACAAAACACCAGTTAACTTTTAGTAAAGTATTAAAATATAGGTCTTTATCAACCTAGAGAACTATAGAAGTTTAATCCGTTAATTAGACACAAGTTATTCTCCATTTTGCTCAGTTTACTACTTTTTATTTCCCTTTCACAGCAAAACTTTTTCAGAGGTGAATAAGTCTAAAACATTATCTCAAAAAAGATTTTGATTACTGTTTAGTTAAGAGTCAGTCGTTTATAAGTATATCTTCATTCATGTAAATGTACATAGAGTTTTGAATGCACTTCAAACCAATAACACATAAAAGAAGTGAAAAATACGGAATACGTAGAATATATTAAATACTGAAATCACTAAACATGAGAATAACAATAATGGTGATTCGACAAAATTTCAATAATATTCAGAAACCATACGATAATTATAAACATTCGGTGCATTAATGGTATGTCTAAATGCATATTTGGTCATGGCGAACGGACGAACTGAAGACTGCAGTTGAGTGATTTTAAAATTCGGACAAATGTCTTTGAGTTGTTTGTCACGTATCATGCTGGGCGCCTTATAACTGGATCCTAAATACATCGGTGGCTAAGCGGTAGGATGTTTTCCAACCACGAATGTGGTCCTGGGTTCGATCCTCGGCCGGCAGGTGATAAGACTGGTAAGGAGGGGAGGTTGGGTATGAGGCTAGCAACCCCACTCCTGCTACCGAAACTGCAAAGCTCTAGTCTGAAGCCCTATGTTCCACTGGGAATGTAAAGAAGTGAAATAAAATAAAAATATGAAAAATTCGTTTCATCTAAAAGGTATTTGTTTTGGTCTAAATAGATTTTCAAACGAGTCACTGTCCATCATTAACTGACAGTAGTTTGCCAACATGCACAGGGTCTGTGATAACTATGTGTTCGATCACATATGACTATGAATAGCTGTTCCATCGTGGAGTGGCACTCAAAACGTCATTCGCAAATATTACCATATCAGTATGTACTTTTACCAAGTGAAACTATTCAGAGATACCGTTATCTTCTACTATAATGCCAAAATTCTATTCCTATGTTTGTATGTACATCATGTTCGAAAGTCAAATATTGTAGCTCATACACGTCATACAAATGCCGTTCTCGAAATTATTATATTATCATTTATTTGTTGGCTGTGAGATAGGATGAGATAGATAAGAGGAGGGTCAGTGTATATTGTTACACTATTTGAGTGACCAAATGACTAAGTGAGTGATTGGTTGACCGAAACTGAAGTTTGCACGAGAAATTTGGTTTAATGTGTAACGCTTTAGAATAGCACATAAAATAAGACAGAACAAACAAAATGATTTTTACGAGTTGATCACGGACTGATATCAGTTAGAGAAACATTGAAAACCAGGGAGTACTGGACAGCTGCTGTTTCATCCTAGTTTGGGAAGTCCCACCAACGACAGTGGTTGGGGTCGCGTTAAGTCACAAACTGGTAGAATTCATGAGCCATTGAATTGGGTCCCAGTGGCTGAATGGTATACGAGCTTGCCTTGTAACCGGAGGGTCCTGGGTTCGAATCCCAGTGGGTGCGTACTGCCGATGATTCCCAAACTAGGGTGAAACAGCAGCTGTCCATTACTCCCTGGTTTTCAATGTTTCTCTAACTGATATCAATCCGTGATCAACTCGTAAACACATAACTAACTGTAGTAATTTATTGTAATAGGAATATTAGTATTTCGAGATGACGGAATTACACGAATCCAACCAAAACTCAGAGAGGGCAGCAATCAGGAATTTGTATTTAGCGGAATTAGGATGCAATTCATATATGAAAATATTAACAATCAACAGTAAGTATTTAAACAATACAAAGATAGAAATAGTCAATCACCTCATCCGCCACACCTCGAATATCTCCTCGCGTATTTATAACGATGTCTCGGTTTGCTTGAAAGTAGCTTCGACCTTCTAACTGATTCTGTGATATTATTTCATCAGTATTATCTGGACCTATTTCTAAATTATCTACAAAATCAGGATTATTAGCGGAATCAATAATATTATAATTGGAACGACCTACTTCATTTATTGTCACTTTGTCCAGGTGTCCGTTATGAACTGAGTGATCTTTGATGTCTAATATCTTCACCACTCGATTTCCCATTTTTTGTAGTATAATTCCAACAGAAGGTCTGTAGTTATTATCTTTGTAATAATGTACATTAGAAGTCGTGGACATCAGATGCTTTTTGAGAATTCGAGATTTGAAAAGTTTTGCAGGACTTTCACGGGTACTTGTATGCTCTGCATTCAACAGACGCAGTCTATGCATATGCAGTAATTCCTCAATTTTAATCAGTTGCTCTCTCATCTCATTCAGGTCTTTTCGTGTTTTCGACAGTTCACATTGTAACTCGGCTACCTCATTTTTGGAAACAGTTGACGCTTGAGTTGCTGAACTTGTAGTGGAGGTTTTCATTGGATGAGATTGAGTATTTTGAAAAGTTGAAAGACACATTGACTCCATTTTACTAGACAGCTTGGGAGAATTATAAGAATGTTGAGCAACATAAGTATTCGAACTTCTGCAAACCGTCTTGATGTGTCCAACTTTACCACATTTGTGACACTTAGCACCCCGAAAACGGCAAGTGCTTCGTAGATGTAACTTTCCACAGGAAAAACACGGTTTAATGTTTTTGATCTCTGGCTGCATTCTATTACCTGTGGACGGCAGTTTGGATTGCTTTCCATTACCACTTGTATTTTCGACTTTAGAAAGCATAACATCAGACACTGACGTAGTGGGAGCAGAGTATTCATTATTGACATCTTCATATGTAATACATACATCTTTAGCAGTTTGAAAAGTACAAGAAGGAATCTGAATTAACTCTTTCTCTAACTTAGGAATATTGATTCCAGCAATTAGACGATCACGTAGTTGAGTATGCAGCTGATCTCCAAAGTTACACTTTGAAGCTTGAATTTGAAGTTGAAGAATGAATTCTCGAATCTTCTGGTTGGGAGCACGAACCAGTTTGTTGAATTGAGCCCTCTCTCGCGTCTCAAAAGTAGTTATATGGAAGTGATATATCAGAAGTTCACGGAGTTTATAATATGGCAGAGAAATTGGTTTATCTGGAAACGACAGAGTCTTCACTAGGCTATACGCATCTAGCCCAATAGCAGTGATGAAATGTGCTGGTATTTTGTCATCCCGAACATTCTTGGAAATGCACCACGCATCGAAGCATTCCAAATAATCAGCAATCTCCCGCGGAGAACCATTAAGAGGAAATTTTCCCAGGTTATTTAGTTCCATCGCGACGCCAATTTGTAGTAATTTATTGTAATTGTAGTATTAGTATTTCGAGATGACTGAATTACAAGAATCCAAACAAAACACAGAGAGGGCGGAATTCAGGAATTTGTATTTAGCGGAATTAGGATGCAATTCATATATGAAAATATTAACAATCAACAGTAAGTATTTAAACAATACAAAGATAGAAATAGTCAATCACCACACTAACCCTTACAAACCAAGCTATAGAAAACAAAATGATGATAAAACGTTAGATTTTGCTTACAAATGTTTTATACAGCAGAATTTTGTTTTTTGCCAAACCATCTTAATAGGTGTCTTTTTCTTCCAAAAATTTATCTTTCGACTTGCCTTACAATAACTTCCTTTTCTAGGCAAAGTTAAACAATAATGTCTCAGGGGTGCGAATGTTCCAGTGAGATTGAACGTATGCTAGTCGTTGGCTAACGACGCCGGTCATTATTATAGCGCAAGTATGAACGCTGTTCGCCAACTAAGGAGCAAGGTTCACCCAGATCACGTTTTTAAGTAATATTTGGACAATGTGTTAATTGTTCGTTACGGTTATAACCAGGATTGGGGTTAGGGTTACGATTAAGGGTAGATTTAGAGTTGGTGTTATTTGTCTTAATTTGCTTTACTATTCACATTTCCCTGGTGAGTAATCATCGATCCTCATCCTGAATACTATAATTCAACCAAGGGCTTTCGTGAAGATTGCGAAACACGATAGGAGCGATAAATGGAAGCAAGCTCATCTTAAGTCACGTGACTTAAGCTACCTCAGTGAATGCATGTACAGGAACTGGTCTAACTTGAAAACTGATACTCATTATAACTGGGATGTATTTTTAAATCATTTCAGACAAAGATACCCTGTTAAATGTGTTTTTATGCATCTTCTTGCAAGTAAACATCATATTTTGTGCAAAAGCTGGTTATTCTTTTTGTTGGTGGACTTAAGGTCACTCATGCGCTCACATCGCGTTGGATGCTATTGTGCAATTTTACCCCCTTTCTAAGCTTTTTTGATGTTGAGTTTGTCCGCAATGGCCTTCGGAGTGACATAATATCATTGAGGCTAAGGATGATGATTGAAGATGCAATTTAAATCTAAGATAAAAACGGTTGTGTGAGGATTGCGTCCTCATTTTTTAAGAGTCCACATCTTTCCCTGTGTAAAATATCCCTACTTCTTAGTGCTTAACCTGAGGAAACTATTTTTTCATTGTTTTCTTCATTTGACTTTTAAGTGTGCGAAGTCCATGAAAATTTACAAAACAACATTACCCTCTGTCACCCTATATCGTCTTACTTCAAATCACATGAATACTTTTCATACCAAAACAATTTTCGCAAATTCAGGTCACACTAAAATGTCGTGTTTTATTGTTTTTCTTTAATTCATTTTGTCACTGTTTAATTTTAGATCAAAAGTGTAAACCCATTGGAGATAAATGTTTCATCCTCAATAGGAATGAAAAGCTTAAGGAGTTAAATTTAACACCACATAAAGAAGGACTTTCTAATGAAGTTGGAAATCTTTCTGTAGAAGATGAATCCGCTAATAACAAGCAAGAAAACAATACTATTAAAAAGAAACGAATCGTGAAGCCAGCGATGAAATTAGTGCCTGATGCTACGGTAAGTGAAACTGATATTAATAAATTTCACTTGAACAAGTTCAGTGTTGCCTTATGATGGACAAATTTATTTTGTCGCTTATAAAAGAATGTAACTGTTTTTATCAGATATATTTATCAACTAAGCTGATTTACGCAATAAAATCGTATCCACCATAAGATTAATATTTCTACTGAACGAAAATACACAACTCATTAGTTGGTCATAAGAAAAAGACATAAACAGTAAAGAAAATTTTCTTTTTGATGATTCATTTTCACACGCTGAAGCAAAATTATAGCCAGAACGTTAATCTAACAACCCCTGTAGGACGAGTGAATGTATATAGTACTTTAAATGCATAAAAGAAGAATACCAGTAGCACTATCCTCGAACACTGCATCATCTCTGAACAAACAGCATCCCTGCATGACTGCTTCACTGTGATACACATAGTCTCTGGTTTCGGCTTCGGTGGCACAGTGGTTAAGACTCTCGCCTACCATGTACATGGTCCGAGGTTCAATCCCCTGCCGACGCACACCTGTTATCTATGATCGGCCTGAAAAATTTGGGCTACCGATATCATATGCTGAAAATTCCATCCTAGTACCAAAAATACGGTGTGGAATCAAGCTGTAATCAAAAAATAAATAAATAAATCAAAAACCTCACGAAACGACTTCTAATACGCCATCTATACATAGCTGAATGATTGGCTTTTCGAGATCTCAAACCGGATTTCTGCGTTCAAAAGCCCTACATGTCTCCACTCGGCCTCTTGTGGCCAGAGTGACGTTCTTACCGAAATTCTGCTTCATTTAATTATATAATTTTGCTATTATTATTGCTACTATTATTATTCTCATAATCTTTATTATCACTCTATTATTTATTATTAATGACACCGATTTTATAAAAACACTTGATCGTCTTTCCACTAGTTTTTGTACACTCTACAGTACTGTATTGGATAATGGTTTTTTTCTCAATTATTACATCATCCCAACTCCTGCACCCTTTTTTATTCCTAATCAGTCATCCCCTTCTAGATTACACCTTACATTATGTATTACGCTTCCTGGAACAAATTTACGACTATGTCATTATTATGTACTGCTGCTGAGTGGTTAATAGTAGTTTTCCCCGTCGCCAAATTGTTATGTACTCGTCGCCAAATTATTGTTATGTACAGGTCGAGAATTTAATAGTCCTGACTCAAGGAAGACGGAAATCAGAAGACCACTAGGTTTGCGATGATACTTCCGTTTTCCAAACACAAGGAGAATGCAAAAGTGGTATCACACCAAAGTGTCACACAAGATTGTGAGAGCGAAATATATGAATGTCCAGACAAGTGTGTGAACAAATCAATAGACAGTCTTAACATGAATGGCTAATTATAATGGAGTATCGATCCATATATACATAGCAAAATATAGCAGACATGTCAACAACCACACATATAATATGGATATATGTCACCAAGCAACGGACTGTCAACAAACACTCATATTATATATAATATAAGGGGAATATACATTGTTAAAGGAGACAGGTTCATCAAAGTGAAATGGTCACAGACTAAGAGAGCAACAGAAAGAGAGACCACCATATATATATATATATATATATATATATATATATATATATATATGGATACATATCAGTCATCTTGTCTTATGCATTACGATTGTGTAACTTATGAACATGAATCGTCAAAAGGAGAATTATCCTCTCTGTTTACATATTTTCCGAATGACTGATTATGGAAATATTCCGTTCGTTAAAGGAATAGCTGATCAGACTAAAACTTTAAATTCATTCACAGTTGAATTTCATGTAAATGTTGATCAAAAGCAAACTTCATTAGCCTGTGTTACCTCATGACGATATACTGGATAAAAATTAACTTCTTGAAGTTGAGCCTCTCAGAATAACAAAGATAGTCATTCAGACATCTATAAAACACAAAATAATTGAGCAAAGAATATCCTTTTCGATAATTTCCTCTCCTAGCTGTACAATTACATATATATGCTCATATACATAGAATATTCTAGATTAGTAGTCACTAACAATATTAGTGTTTTTTTAAATAAAATCGATTTGTAAAGTAAGATCAATGGAATTACAGTTCAATAAATATGCATGAATTATAATAGTAATAAAAATATAATAACAAATAGAATATCAACTAAAATTAGGGAAATTCCTACAAAAATTGAGAATCATTCGAACCTCGATGGCCAAGGTGAGGACAATGTCTGAACTCGCTTCTTTTGGACAAATAAATTAGGCTTCTTAATGTGGATCCCAATGGCTTCAGCAATATTTAGTAATCGAACTCTTAAGGTGAAGTTAAGATTTGTTGGTATGCCGTAAATGACTTTGAAAGCCTTGTTGATATCAATCTTGTGTTCTGTATCCACAAGATGAGATAGAATAGCGCTACGAATAGATTTTGTTTGTCCTTTGCTTAACCACGCAACGTAATGTCCTGAAATCCGATGAGAAACACGCCTAATTGTACGGCCTAAGCAATTAACTGGCCCAACCGAAGCAGTTAAATTGGTAGATACACATGGAAGAGGCGACACTAGGCAGTTTCTCTTTTACTTCCGAACGCAAAAGAGGAGTGGTTTTGAAGACAGAGTAATTCAGCAGCAGGGAGTGCTCTTTTTACTGCATTTCTAAGGCGTTATGTTAGTATCTCGCTGATGTTATCGCCGAGGAACTGAATATGTAAGAATAATGCCTTTTTAAGAACTGTCGGTACCTTGGGCTGCTTTGATTTTAGATTGATATTCTTATCAATAAACTTTTCTGGATAACCATTTTCATTCAGCAACCGTTTAATATTATTAAGTTCCTCATCAAGACATTCCTCCGAGCAGACTGCTCTTGCTCTGCGAACTAAGAACTTTATCAGATTGCGTTTGTATTTTAAGGGAACGAAGCTGAAAAAGTGAGTATACTGACCCGTTGATGTAGGTTTTCTATATGCACTTCTTATTGTGCCATCCTCTTTTCTGATTATAAGGACGTCTAAAAATGAGATACTAGAGTCATAGCCTTTTAAAATGTGACTGTATGACTCGAGAGTCAGATAAAAGAATATATGCATATTCTGTACAATATACTAAGTACTTTAGGCACCTATTCAGCTTAAGTCATGCTATAGTGAGTGAGCACGTAGAATATGTTGAACACTTCAGTTACCTCGCAAAATACATAATCTGTTGTGCAGGGTAGAAGAAGAATATTTAATATTCGCCTAAATTTACCACACATGATATCGTCAAGATGTTTGACAACATATCATAAGGCTAGCGTGCTGCTTCATGGTCGTAATATATAGCCTAACAAAAAATTATCGAAGGAATGTAGACCATTAGCCCCTTCAGACCATCACTTACGCTTGGTGGAACCACAGGGTAGAAAATTATAAGTGTGACATAAAATGGTCGAATACCATTTAACCAAACAACAGCACCAAGAGGACAGAGATAAGAAACTGGTATTCGGCAGAATAATTTGTATTTCATACATAAAATAAATAAGAATAAACAGTACTGAACATTTAAACAACACACTAACTGAAATAATTACTCACCACAGAAATAATGAGAATAAATGTTGAGTGTATGTAAGAAAGGTGAAGTAGTCTGTCAATTAATGAATCTTGATTGTTTCATATCTATGGAAATGCGGTTCATATACTGAACTACTTTTCTCCAAAAACAACTGTTTTCAATAAATTCTTCTTCAGGTTCCACGGTTATAAATATACTGATGTTAGCAAACCGTGTTTAGTAGGAGTAAATTGAAATTATATTAGAAGGCGTATCTTGGTTAAAAGGTAACTACTAATAATTATTATTGTAGTAAAACTCCTACTGGTAGTACTGTAACTGTAGAAGACAATAGATTTGATAAAGGAATGTTTATCTGGCATTTGGTATCTCTATATAGACAAGCTATGTACACCTTATTTCCAAATCATCATTTGCACAGATTTTCCGTGTTGTGCTACTTCTATCCTTCATTTGTGTTTCTTTGTTTTCTTTTTCACGTCTCGCATGTTTTGCTGCAAGACTGAATCATCTCCTTTCTTTAAGGTCAAATCTACCACCCTGCTGTTTGATATTTTTGTACCGACTAACGTCCCTTTATATTCTACTGATAAATCTTATCAGTAGTACACGCCACAGTACTTCTGCTAATACTTCTTCTAATACGGCTGCAGGTAATCATACTGCTACCATTTCTAGCAATAATAATACTAATACTATTTATTATTCAACCCCTTATTCACATATTGGTTTAACAGCAGAACACGATAGCATCTGTTAGCGGAATCATTTATTGACAAATTTATAGGCAGGTATAGCAAAATAAAGAAGATACAGAAGCATTTCATCGAGATCTTCATTCTCACATGTTCATGTTTGGTGCTTCCTTAATCTTCCTTTCATGCTTTCTATTTCGCTTCATAAGAATCTCTCATTTCTCCCTTCGTCATCTGCTCCATTGCTCTGCTATCCAATATTCTCTCAGAAGACATAATACATAATAAACGACTTATATAATATCAAGCTGGTGGCACATGACATACCCGTCGACCACGTCAAAAAGTGTCTAGTGGAGCCACTCTGACCTCTCCACTTCTGTTGTGCGTTGGTAGCGGCTTTTCATCACACTGTATCCATCTCTGAAGCTGGCTTGCATTAACACTACTATTTCTCCTGTTGCTGCTCCTCAAATACGCACACGAATCTGCCATGCATTATGTTTTCTTTTGTCCATTATGTTATGCTTTTCACATCATTCTGACACTTCCTGTGATATCTTGCTTCCTCAATCAACTTTCCACCATTTATTAATGTCTTGTGATTTATATTTGTCCAGGTAAACAGTTTTATCGTAAATAAAAGTAATTCAATAATTACCAGTCTTTCATACTGAACACACGATTATTTACTTTATATAATATTTGTACTAGTTGATCACGGATTGATATCAGTTAGAGAACCATTGAAAACCAGGGAGTACTGGACAGCTGCTGTTTCATCCTAGTTTGGGAATCATTGGCAGTACGCACCCACTGGTATTCGATATTTGCCATAGAATACTTCATATAATATTTAAATCGAGATGTATATACACCAAATTTCACATGTGTATTTAATCTTTCACATTCTTCATAGCTTTCTGATTTTCTGTTTTTAATAGTTTAATGTTAGAAAAATCTTAGTGTTGTTATGATATACTCATTCTTTGAATAACATGGGCATACAAGCAAATAACACCGAGAATTATATTAGCTCAGTTAAAGCTTATCATTAGCGTGAGAATATTTATTCTTAATCAGTTCAGGGTATTCTCTGCTAGCCAATACATATTTCTATGTCATACTCCTCACAACATTTTCTAAATTGTAAGACGAGAAATTGAAAAATTGTTTTTGTTTATATACTTCCCTTTTTTCCATTTGTTTCCAAAACAGCTTCTTAGCAAACAGATAAGTGGATCAGGCAGACTTGTTTTCGACAATGAAGGCAATCTAATCAGTGTACCTAAGTTATATCCTATTATTAACAATAAGCAATCAGAGTCAACAGTGATTACCAGCTGTACAGAGTTGACCAGTAATCTTCTTGGAAAGAAAATCCCGATTCAATGGTATTTTCGAACGGATTCACTGGTTCATGGAACTCAAAATCAGCGTGAACCAACCTCTAGTACTAATAATTCTATTAGGAATAAAACTAAAACAGCCAGATCATCAGTGTCTAGTGTAAGTTGGTTGTGTCATTCGGATGCGTGTGTGTGTCACTTATCATTCTTTAAACCGTGTAAAAATGCCGCTGACTGTAGTCCCTTTGTTTCTTTTGTCTTGGAAAATTGTTAACAGTATCAAAGGAAATTTGAAATTGGGGCTATTAATAAAAGGAAATACACTGGCATGCTGTTATACCTATTCTTAGGTCAGAACACTCATATCAACGTTTTCTTATTGTCAAGCTTAACAGCGTCAAGTGAGAAACTAATAAATCAGGTATGCCAGTAGCAATATTTTGAGCGCTAGTAACTGTTGGAAAATCTGCAGGCACTAGACTTATTCAGCCTGAACAGACTGACGTTCCTGAAGGGAGCTGATAAAACATTAAAATAATTTCACCACTTAGAGCATTTTGTGGTCTAATCAACACATGTAGTGACTGCATGTATTTCTTTGTGTATTTCTTTTGCATCAGGAAGTTGATAAAGTGGCTAGAGTATTATGATGTGACATACTCTTCAGATTTATTGACAATTCGATTACTAACAGACTAGTCGCTTATTTATTGAGAGCCAACGTGATGCGGCCGAATTATTTATGTGCTTTTTGAAAGAATAAGAACACAGATATTTTCATTAAACATTGCAGGGAAACCAACAGTAAGAAACTGACAATGAAAAGATCTTCTGAAAATCACAGGGAAAAAATGAAACATTTTAATAACTCCAAAAAACAGATACAATTCTGGATATCAACCCTTTCATTTGTGTAGGTCTATTCACTTCAGTGTAACAAATCTACTCTGTATATGTTACTGTGTACTATGATTAGTTGAAAACCCCCATTATCAACCATCTGTGCTTGTTATCCAGATGAAATTGACCCTGACACTAGGTAACTATGTCACTAAACTGCAACTAAGCTCGCAAATGGTGCACTTGAAGAACCAAGCAGACTTAGACAAATGAATTAAATCAAGCGTAGATATTATGTGCTGGTTCACCTCGACCGTGTAAATAATTTTTAACTGCCCTTACTGATCAGTACTGTACATCATGTCGTTTTTCTTGCTGATTTCTCCTAACGCACTCATGATGTGCTTTCGATTATCGTTTGTAATACGAAAATATTCGTCTTCGAAAAAATATTTCAAAGACTTGAATTGATTCTCCTATAGGTTGAAAACATAAAAGACCATCAGCGCCTAATATCAGCGAATCAGAAGGGTAGTAGTTACAACAGAATATTTTGGCAAAGAAACCAAGAATTTGAAATTTGTAGTCGTAAAATTAAAGAGTGACATTTATTTAGTTTATTCACTTGTAGCAATAGTGCAACCAGTCATACGTAGGCTGATTGGGCCCCCCCCCATCATTCTGAAATCCAGAAAGGCAGCAAGACGAGATGGGATTCCGTCTAAAGCAAACAAAATGGACGCAGAAAGCATGAGGCACATGATGACACCACTAGTGCGAAATCTTCGGAGAGGAGGAAAAGTGCCAGTTGATTGAAAGAAAAAGTAACCAGTCAAACTCATGAAGGAATGTGGTTTGGGCTTCTGCAAGAACAAACGCGAAATCATGCATTAGTACACACCAATCAGGAAACTGCGTTGTGTCGTACTGGAGATAATAATGGATGTACTGGGTGCAGAAATAACTGTAATGACTGCTGTGTGACCAACTATTCTGCTTGACATGAGCTTCGGAAACTCTACCTGCTGACCACCATTTAGCCTGACTCACCTAATCTAGTCTCCAGGGTTTTGTTAACACCGTTCCAACTAGTGAAGGAAGAATGTAACCCTCACGCCTGTTCAAAGATGTATTTATTTACTAACAATGATGCTAAGAGAGTATAGAAATACACAATCAACACAACATAGTCGCTGAGTTGTTGTCCCTTGAAAATTCAATTGTCTACCGTGTGTGAGAATCCACACAGACAAACAAATTTATCATTGAAGGTGAAATGGTTGAGGTTCAATTGATTTGATGAACTTCTGTGATCCCCTACATTACCCTCCCACTAGAATCATCTAGGGTTGATTCGATTCAGCGAAAGAAGTTACTATGTGTAGTAGAGTTCTGTGGAACTTATGACATCTGTTGTCTGCTGAGAATTTGGAGGGGAACGCAGAAGGATAGCAGGAGCTGTCCCTGGGAATGAGTTCATTCTTGGTGGAAGAGTAGCAGTAGAGGTAGTGTGACAGAGCAAACAATCAGCTTAGCATTTGATGGAAGTAGTGAGTATTCAGGCTGATGTAATTTTGTAACGCCCAAATGTATAAGAGTCCTTTAGATGTACAGATGATTAAATGGACATTGGCATACTTTGATTCAGCGAAAATGTTACTATTTCAAGTGCGTCTGAAGATCAGTGTTCCTGGAAGGAACTTAGTTCCTAACTCATATTTTAAGGGTGGGTGGGGGAAATAAATTTTAGCGTCTAATGTAGACAGTACTGCATATAACCATTGGTTGTGTGATGAAAGGAACATGAATGTGACTGAGAGAGATGAACTCCGAACTCAGTGTCCCATGATATCCCTTGGTGCATTTATCAAAAATGACGATTTGATGATTTTATTTGAAGAAGTTCTTGTATCTCCTAAAATGGATCAGATACATGATGGATAGTCCGTCGGTTCACACCTCTTACTATTCCATTGGCGTTTACCGTATTTTATAACGATGATTTCGGCATCACTTTGTGACGTTGTGGTGTGCTTATGTGAAGGAATTCAAAGTAAGTGGGTAATCGTGGGCAAGCTTTTGACGAATGTAGAGAAGACAACAAAATGGAGATGTGCTGTTGAAGCCCAAGTTTCCACTTGGATCCCAAAAGAAGAATAATTAGAATGACAGTTGCAGCAAGGTTTGAAAGGACTAATAAGACGATAGGTATTGTAGTAGACTAGAATTTTTTATGTATGAATAACAGGAGAAGTTCGAATTAAACTAAAGTAAATTTTGAAGAAAACCTAAAATGCCATAAATTTTGAACTCTTATATTTTGGCTTCAATTATTTTCTATCATTTCTTTACTAAAAGGACATGGAGCTTAGAAATGTTTTAAAGTTTCGTTTGCAGTGGTGTCGATTTTGCAGGGTGGTGTTACTCAACCCACGCCTAAGTTTCCCTCCTTCTCTTGTTTTAGTATCGGTTAGAAAACTAGGCGGTTTAGGAGTAAGTCACCCGAGAGTCGAACGTGGACCCCCTATGTGACCATCAAGTTTTCCACTATTGAGCAACTTACTCATATAAGCGATAGTATTTGATCCAAATGGTGCTGATTTCTTCATCAAAGAGATAAAGTCACTGATGTCATGGTATACGTAATTCACTTAATCACTATTTTAAATTAGACTATTGTGTAGTGATCTCTAAATACACTTATCACACTAGCCAGTATTTTTGTTAACCAGAAATCATCCACGAGCTAATTGAAGTGCCAATTAACTCTGTAACCGTGAAGTCGGAGAGTCCATTACTACAGTCAAAAACGAATATTGTATAATTTTAGTAGGTTTCATAACTTAGTGTATAAACAGAAAATATATTATCTTTTAACTGACTTTGAATGAATTGAAAATTCTCAACGCATTCTTGATGGCGGTTCTTTCAAATCAGCCGTGAAGTGTTCAAAACATGAATTCCTAGAGATAATCGATTTTGACTGGCTACTTAGTGATAACCAGTGACCAGCGTCTACTCTGCGGATGTGATATTGGTTGAGATATATCAGCCATGTTTATAATGAGGTTTCCAAGCTGGGTAACTCATAGCTGAGGCACGGTTTGAATTGATGTCATGCAGTAGGAGGCGATCGGCAGGAAACCCCTGTGATATTATCTGATCATATGGAAAACTTTATCTTATTTGACAAAAATATTCTCTTTTACACCCCATTCTTCTTTAGACTACAGGTAATAAAAGAAGACAAAGAAATCGTAGTTTAGAGTCAACTGAATACATAGTTGACCCTGAAATGATACGCTTACAAAAGATGAAGAACTCTTATGCAAATATACCGAACGCAACTGATTTGGTTGACTTAGTTTTAGGTGTTACAGTATCAGATGGAGACCACCTGAAGATTGGTCGGTTTGTTGTAAGTAATAAACCTTTTTAATGCGTGCATTATATTCATGTAAATGATTATTTTGTAAATTAAAGGATTCGTAGTTAAATTCGTTGAAATGGCGTATGAACAGTCTTCAGTCTATGTGATTTAACTCTGCCTTCAGTCATCTCCGTTCAGCATCTACTTAAAATGTGATCAGTCCGACATAAGCAAACAAAACGGTCTCAGTCACTTTAGTTTAAGGAATATTTTATGGTATTCAAAAGACCTGAAGATACGTACGGCGGCAACACTGCTCTTAACGTAATTTACTTGATGTACAACTTTTCAAGGAAGAATAGAACTAATTCTAGCTTGACAGGATTTTTAGTGGTATGGAGGAAGATTTTGACATGGATGGATATCAGTCAGAGAACCATTGAAAATCAGAAGACTTCGGGAAACCGGTCCATTTTAGTTGTGGACTTTGCCGCAGTATTAACCCCTGCCTCCACCAGGGATAGAAACAAGGTTTGTGTCATTATTTATGAAGAAAACTGCACGGTTCTGCGAGCTTTACTCAAGGGTCTGTTTTTCAATGGATTTACTCTACTAATATTAGTGTAAGGTCGTTTTCGGTTAACGAGAAAGGCAACTGTAAAGTCAACATCAAAATAATCCCTATAGGATACAGTATTATCGCTTTCTGTCCGCAGAATAAGAAAGTTTACACAAGCCATGACTTGGAATTTATAATAATGGTAGCTTTAATTTAGACATTATGTTTGTATACAGTACAGAATTCTCAGCATGCTTTATTGTGAAATATCCGCTCCCTGTATAGAAGCTCCAAAAAGAAACAGATAACAGTATTTCACCTGGCATGACACTGTTCGGTTCAAAGCACAACCAATCCATACAATATTTTTGCTTCATTTCCTTAGTGTTAGGTTGAAAGCTATTTAATAAGGAAGGGAATAATTACGGGTTGTGATTCAAGAAAATTGTATGAAATGGTTACAACGTTATGAAATGAATTCATTTCGATACACGAGGATGTATGGCGACTAAGTAGACAAATGATTTGGAAAAAGCGCCAGTAGAATTACTGTAATGACTGAATCATCTGTCAAGGTGGCTTAATCGATTTGTTCAATACAAAGAATAAAACTGATTGTCTTGGGTACTTTGACTGATAACTACAGTGTGACTTGGTGATGGTTAAGACTGAAATCAAAACCCAATTTGCAGCTGACTGTAGACCGGTTATTAGAATCTGACAGGTGTGAATTTCTCCCGAAAGAAATCCGAAACGATAATCCAAACTATAGATTTAACCACACGTAGAGTGACGCGTAAAGTCCAAAATACAGGATATTCTGCAATACGGTACTTTATTACATAAAAATAGATATATAATATACAAACCTCAAAATGTGAGGTGTCTGTGGCTAAATGCCGTCAAATGCACAACCACTGTGCAGTCAATAAGTAAAAACAGCAATGCTGTGTCAAGGTCGATCCGCGTGTCAGTTCAAACGGCCCGCGAATGCCAAGCAAAGAATAAACAAATATGAACAAACAACTTTCAATAGTAAAGCATACACTATAGGGTAAATGCAGCAAGTAATGTTTAAGGAGAAGAAAAATAAGAACTATACATTAATAGAATGATAATAGAACAAGTAATTTAACTGCAGTTGTAAGCAAATGTCATTGTTATAAATTAACATATAAAAATCATACTACTTACTAATGGCAAGTAGTATAATGTTGAACAAAGAAAAGATTGAGAATGAACAGGTAGGAAAGGAATTAACAACAGGTGACTCAAGTTTCTTTTTAAAATGATATCATTATTCCACGGTGTACACAAACCATCCGTGACTATAATCAGTCAAGAAAGTATGACTTTTATTGCGGTTGGTCGCTTGTCTTATTTCTTTAGCACATAGTCTAACGAATGACGTCATCGTTGTATATGATTGGATTCAACTGAATCGTTTAGCTTAACAGTCTACTAAAACAAAAATATCTGAGCATAAAACTGATGAAGTCACTTCTGGAGACACAAACAAGTCATCTTAATCTTACTACCAACATTTCCTTGTTGATTAGTTTCAGCACCATACAATAACTCATGTTTTAGTAATAATATCTCCCTATATATTATTAGTAAATTGTTCCTTACAAATCAGACGAGATTCTACTCAAGAATGTAAGTTCTTTTTCGGTTAACTCATGACATGCGATTAGAGATCGTCGCAATATTTATCTTCTGATTAACAGGTCAGACAAGTACTCCCAAATTAACATGGTTGTTCATTTGAATAGATGTTACACCTAAATATGCATGGTATTATACACTGAGTTAGTTTAGGAGTGTTAAGACAATGTTAACTACTACGAAAGTATTTCAGATTATTCACTGTCGTTTTCCTTGAGCATCAGTAGAAGGAATGCAATTTTACCTATATTTGAAATTTGAAATCTCCTAGTCTTTCATTCATCTCTGATCAGTTTAAGTTTGGGATTTATTTCAAGAGTTTATACTGAACAAACGGCAGTTAATTCCGCTCTCTGTGTTGAGTCAACCCGAAGACACCACTAATTTGGGTGACTTCAAACTAACAAAACAGCTGTCCCGTAGTTAGATTACTTCGATCTGGTTAGAAAGGACTACTGTCTGAAGTGAGTGGTTCTTAATTACTCATTAATCGGTAGTACTTGTTAATCAGGTCAGCGAGTAGAAAAGGTGTCCGACCAAATAGTTAGTTGTAATACATTTCCTAGTGACTGACAACGTCGTTTAACAATGAAAAAGAATTGCTAAATTAGATGTGTTTTGTGTGTTTGCACCTCTGCGACTAACTGTTATTCCCTCTGACTGTATGATGCACGCAACACAGGTACCAAGTACCTCACTCGCGTCCGTCACATAAACTGGTTCACCTGATCCTTAGTTACGTCTTTGGAGTGGACTGTCTAGCAGTCCTGTCGAATGAGACTGTATTCCTGTAACTTTTCTGATTTCCCAAATTTCTTTAAACTGAAGTGAGTAGGCGAGTTTCAGCCTACGTTTCATGCATGTTAGCATTCTCCAATAAGATACACCTTCAACTATGAAAGAATTGATTCTCCCTTAGAGATTAAAATCCACTAATGAATAGTTTTGACAACCGTTGATCTCCTTATACAACTAGAACAAATATTATGATTAGTGATATAAGTATAAAACTTGGGCACTGTGGTAGAGTATAACTCCATTATGGATAAACAAATTTTAAAAAAATAAAATCTTATCCATAATGGAGTATTATGATTAGTTTCTGTCTACTTTAATGTACTCCCTAAATTCCAGTGAAAAAGTTAACTATTCGCCATCAAATCTGTTGATTTTTCACGTAGATGTAACTAGCAGTATAAAGTAATTGCTAATGATTATCATTGTTATGTTTATTTTATTTTTATTCTTATACATCTCCCATCCCTATAGAATGATAAATTTTCTTCTCTCCTAAATATTAACTGGGATGGTCTTGAAGAAATTCCATCGGTAAAGGCCAACTGAAAAGTGTTCAGTTAACCAACCAGCTGGATAAGTCATCAAGAAAAAAAGTTGAAAAGTTCATTTGTGATTGTATTTAATTCATTATTATTTATATAACCTTTCTTTCGTCGTACAAATTTTAACAAATACATTTATTTCAGTTGATTTTATTCCATATCTTTGCATAACAAATAGTTAACCTTTATTAAAATGTTAAACCTGATCACTTTGCTTTCTTTCTTTGAATTATAATACTTTATAACCACTACGCTTTCACAAATTCTCAAAGAGTTTAGCGAGTTTTCAACAAACAATATTCTTCTTCTTCTTCTCCTCCTCCTCGATGAATGATTTTTTTTTGTAGTTTTGACAAATATGTCAGAGGATTAAAGTATATTCACAGAAGACAATTTTCATTGAAGTAGGGGTAATTCAGGTAGTCGAATAGCAACAAGTGATCATCCATCCTAACAATGTGTCGAATACTGTGACCAGTGTCTCATTCCTACATTGAATCTCTGTGACTTGAATATTAAATATTGTTAGACGCCAATAATAAGCATGTATTCAAAAGTCTGGAATGTATTATTTCAGATTGTGTATTTACGAAATATTTTATGCAGTAATTTCATCCAATGTCTCCACTAAGCTTCACTTCAAAAACTTAAATAATGATGTTTAACGCTATAACAATGGATTCCGACTGATGCTTTTGTTGACGTAGGTCTTCATCAACACCTCCGAAGTAATCACCTACAGACTGAATAACCTGATAATGTATAAATATACACAAAGTATGTTAGTTTAAATTATCACACATGGAAAAATATGCGTAAAAATGGAGAGGAAAATAGAACGAAACTTCATTGGATGAAGATGTGTGGCATGGATAATAATTAAGTGACGATTAAATAGTATTTACTGGTGACTGATTTGAGTGGTTGGCTGTCCGTATACTAGTTTGGAATTTAATGACTGGTGAATTCTAACATGTGTAGGCTCGTGATTTGGCCTTACATTCAGTAGATATCATCGGGGATTATATGTTTTCGAAGCAACCTTGGTTGACTTTATCGGTTACGTTTTGTTTTCGTTTAAATTCCAACAGTTGACCGATATAAGAAGAGAACTTTGGCACTGTAATAGAGTATAATTCCATCATATGGTAAATTTATTTGATAAGGTCTCCGGTGTTATATAGCATTATTTTCTGATGACATTTCAAGTACATTTTATTGTTCATAATCATATCAAGGTATTCACACAACTTTCCGACTTCGTTTATATTATTCCATTTTTGCTCATCTCTCCATCTGATTTGTAGTAATATTTTCTGTTATTAGTTATGAGTCATTCCTATTGCATGTGTTGGGTGTAGATTCGAATACACACATCGGTGGCATGTTAGTAAATGAAGAAGATACATCAAAGGATATCATGGATTAATTGCTCACATTTTAGTCAGTAACCCTTTCGACAAATTTGAAAGTATCCTTCATACTGCGTTTTACTGATTAACTAATCAAAGAATGTAAGAGTTGCGCCAAGCATTCAACCATTGGACAATATAAGGAATTCAAAATATCTAATGCTGATCGAAGTGGCAAAACATTTTAATGCACTTTCGGCAAGCCATATAATCTAGGTGTGAACTTACTAGTAGGCTTTAGTAATCCTTACAGACTTCATGAGATACGGACTTTTTGTTGTAACCACTTTAATAACTAATCTAGGTGTTTCTCACTCTTTTTAATCCGATCGGGTGAAGCTTAGTTTTTGGAATTCCCAGTGTTCGTTAAGGTGTCTATTCAACTTTTCCATGTAATCTGTCACGTTTATTAAAACTGCTTTTGAACCCTAATCAGGTTCTGTAATTACTAGGTTATATTCTTTCTGTAGGTCAATTGAGAATTTCGTGTTTTTTGGTCATAATATTACCGGTACTCTGTTTACTATTCACATATTTATAACAAAAGTGACTTTAGTCTTTCAGCTTCCTATGTTGGTAGTGTTTGAAGACATCCCATTGACAAGAAAACAAGAATCGGAAACACAAAAAATCTAGAAGCAGAGGTATACAGATATACATGAACCAAATACTCAACTAAAACAGCAATAATCCAGCAGCACAGGAAAGAAACTGTGTGCAAACATTATTCAAAAGACATTTGTAAAAAGTATATTTGTAAAATCTTAGCGAAATGTACGGGATGCGTTCATAGAAAAAGAAAAAATATGGAATCATTTCAAATGTGAATTTGCAATATTGATGGAATCTTATATGCCTTGGTTACACCAGAATTGAAAACTGTCATTAACAATACGTTTAAATTTAGAGAATAATATTATCTTCAGTCTTCGAAAAGAAGACAAAGCAATAAGTTCGACAGGGTGTTTCAGCTAAACTCTAATCCTAAACACCATAATTTTGAAAATACGTCTAATCATAAAATTCTAGATATTAACAGTTTGAACAGACGTGAAGGTGTGATGTTAGCTGATGCATAGAAAAATCCTGATTAATAAATAAGAATGGATATGTATCACTAACTAATAATACTTGATCAAAGTTCCTGACTGTCTATATCTTCTTATGGATACGTTAAGAAATGTTTTACAACTGTTCACCCACACACGCATGCACACTCTGTTTAAAGTGTTTAACAAAGACAGACCAATATATGTAAGTCTGAGGTCAAATTTTGATCACAGCTCATACAATTTTGTTTATTCTACTTGTTGATACTTGTTTTATGAATCATGATTGGACAAAGTTTTTAAAAACAAGAAACGTTCCTTTTATATATAAACCTCTGTTATGTTAATTTCGATTAATTTCCCTGAAGAAGTTCGGACCAGATTGCCGAACGAAACGTTGGAATTACTCATTTCAATATCGCTGAGATTATACAAATATAATTTTTTACAAATGTCTACTTCTCACTCGGCGCCCAAATATTTTAGAACTATTCTGTCAAATCTTGACGACAGTTCATTTGACTTATTTTGTAATCCAATTAAATTAACAAAGAAACTATGTAATTGGCACAATCATCGTGTTTCCACTCTCCGGTGTCCGCAACAGAATGCGTACCCTAAATCCGTAGCTGTCCAGTCAACTGACAACTCCAGTAGGTCGAATAAATCAGCTCAATTTTCAGAAAGAAGACAAAGCAATAAGTTTGGCAGGGTGCTTCAACTAAACTCTAATCCTAAACACCATAATTTTGAAAATACGTCTAATCATAAGATTCTAGATACTAACAGTTTGAACAGACATGAAGGTGTGATGTTAGCTGACGCATAGGAAATCCTGATTAATAAATAAGAATGGATATGTATCACTAACTAATAATACTTGATCAAAGTTCCTGACTGTCTATATCTACTTATGGAGACGTTAAGACATTGTTTTACAACTGTTTATCCGCACACATACACACTGTGTTTAAAGTGTTTAACAAAGGTAGATCAATATTTGTAAGTCTGAGGTCAAATTTTGATCACAACTCATACAATTTTGTTTATTGTACATGTTGATGTCTGTTTTATGACTCATGATTGGACAAAGTTTTAAAAATGAGAGATGTTCCTTTTATATATAAACCTCTGTTATGTTAATTTCGATTAATTTCCCTGAAGAAGTTCGGACCAGATTGCCGAACGAAACGTTGGAATTACTCATTTCAATATCGCTGAGATTATACAAATATAATTTTTTACAAATGTCTACTTCTCACTCGGCGCCCAAATATTTTAGAACTATTCTGTCAAATCTTGACGACAGTTCATTTGACTTATTTTGTAATCCAATTAAATTAACAAAGAAACTATGTATTTTGGCACAATCATCGTGTTTTCATTCTCCGTTGTCTGCAATAAAATGCATATCCTAAATCCATAGCTGTCGAGTCACCTGACAACTCCAGTAGGACGAATAAATCAACTCAATATTCAGAAAGAAGACAAAGCAATAAGTTCGACAGGGTGCTTAAACTAAACTCTAATCCTAAACACCATAATTTTGAAAATACGTCTAATCATAAAATTCTAGATACTAGCAGTTTGAGCAGACATGAAGGTGTGATGTTAGCTGATGTATGGCAAATCCTGATTAATAAATAAAAAAATGCATATGTATCACTAATTAATCATACTTGGTTAAAATTCTCGATTGCCTATGTCTTCTTATGGAGACGCCAAAATATGTTTTACAACCGTTTATGCATATACACACTCCACTGTATGCCTCATATACACTTATATTTCCACATTCAGTTACCTACGACCATGAACTTCTAGTCAAATGTGATTACTAAAATTCCGATGAAAATTACAGTCTGTTTAAAGTGTTTAACGAAAGTAGTCTAATATTTGAAACAATTAGTTCCCTTTATGAATTTAGATAAAGCAATAAGAAGACGTAATTTGTCTGAATCGTAACACATTTCGAACACATTTCTGATCACACAGGTAAATACACTACACAATTCAGACAAATTACGTCTTCTTATTGTTTTATCTAGTCTGAGGTCAAATTTTGATCACAGTTCATGCAATTTTGTTTAATACATTTTGATGGCTATTTCACGACTCATATGACTGAACAAAGAATCTAGAAACAAGAGATGTTCTTTTATATTCGAACCTCTGTTATGTTAATTTCTATTAACTATCCTGAATAAGCTCGGACGAGTTCACCGAATGAAACGTAGGAATTAATCATTTCAGTTTCGCCGAGATTTTACAAATATAATTATTACAAATGTCTACTTCTTACTCGGTGCCCAAATATTTTCGAACTATACTGTCAAATCTTGATCACAGTTCATATAAATTATTCAAAAAACACTTATAAACTTATATTTCTAAAATCTCAGCGAAATTGAAATGATTAATTCCAACGTTTCGTTCGGCAATCTGGTCCGAACTTCTTCAGGGAAATTAATCGAAATTAACATAACAAAGTTTATATATAAAGGGACACCTCTTGTTTTTTTTTAAATTTGTCCAATCATGAG